AGATGTCAACGTGTGGAGGTGGGGAGATATGGCGGAAAACTTTTTTCGGTGGGAGGCGGAATCGTGCACATGCGACGTGTGGCTTGTCGAATGAGAGCTCCACAACGGCCTGTACAAATAATGCATCTGCGCCTGCCCTTCTTCTTATATCCCTCACGTCTCCCTCCTTCCGCCTTCCGCCGTCGCCCTCCCCCCACTCCTCTCCCCTTAGCCCTTTTGCGTGCATCATCCCCCTCCTCCATCTCTATCATGTCTACACCCGCTTTTCTTGTCGTGTGCGTGTCAGCGCACCGCCCGCCGTCGCGCCCGGCCGCGCCGTCGCATCCTACCGCCCCGCCGCGGCGCGCCACGCGGCGGGGCCCCAGGGCGTCTAAACGGCGTCTGCGGCCGACGGCCGTGCCGGACCAGCAGCTTCTCGAGTGCGCGAGGGCGGCGTCCAAGCTGTCTGCGGCGCGTAAGACGCTGCGCAAGCGGCTGGGATCAGAGCCGGGCATCGCGGAGGCGGTGTCGCTGGCGGCGGACTCCGACGGCAGCGTGTCGCTGGACCTGGACGAGTGGCGGCATGTGTTCGACGCGCGCAACGAGGTGACGGTCAAGTGGCTGTGGTTGGTGGCGGCAGTTGCGCGCAAGGCGCACCGCACATACCTACAGGCGTTCCCGGAGATGTCGGCCGCACTGAGCTTGGGCGATATGACGCAGGAAGGGGTGTGCGGGCTGATGACGGCCGTGGAGAGATGGGACCCCGCCAAGGACTATGCTTTTGACGCGTTTGCGTTTTACTCGATCAAGCATGCTATCCTACGGGCGATTGAGAATCAAAGCCGGCCGATTCGACTCCCCGTGCACGTGCTGAACAAGCTGTCCAAGATGCGCAAGATCAAGCAGCAGGTGGACTTGTCCAAAGGCGGGAGGGAGCCGTCGGTGCAGGAGGTTGCGCGGTTGGCCGGGGTGGGTTACAAGGAGGCCGAGCTGTACCTGGATCGGAGCAAGACGCTGCGCAGCATCGACGCGCCGGTGAGGGGTGGGGCAGAGGCGAGCTTGCGGGAGTTTTTGGTGGACGAGTCTGTGGACGTGGCGCGGCAGGTGGAGAGGGCGTGCTCCCGGGAGGCGGTGCAGGAGCTGGTCAAGGGGACGGACCTCGAGGAGCTGGAGAGGTCTGTGCTGCTGCTGAAGTACGGGCTGTCGGATGGGGTGGAGAGAGTGCGGGCCGAGGTGAGCCGGATTTTGGACGTGAGGGTGGAAAAGGTGCGCAGGGCTGAGCTCAGCGCGCTCAGGAAGCTCAGAGTGACGGCCGGGGAGGACTGGGCCGGGTGGACAGGGCTCACCTGAGGGGGGGGTGTTTTGTTGCATTTTGCCGCTTTATTTGCCTCTTTACGTGGGGCGCAAGAGTTTTGTAAGAGTTTTGTTGTGCGATTTGCACGCTGGGGACGGGACGATTCCCCGCTGGGGCGGAGGGGGAAGAACTGTGTCGCAGACTTGAGAGCACACGGGTTAGTGGGTAGAACTCGCGTAGGTCGTTGGTAATAAACATGGACATGTTCCTGGGGGTGCGGCGGCTTTCCTGGAGCAGAGAGTTATGATACAGGTAACGAATCGGAATTGCACCAGATCTTTCGCTGCCCAATCCCGTGCAAGGGACACGCCCCTTGAGAGCGTACACTGCCACGCCCTCATACTGTACTCTGTAAGGTACTGTAAAGCTTTTCCATGCTGTAGAAATTAGCGGCCTACGTGTGCACTTCCGTACACTACTGTAAGGTAGATGCGCTTGCCTGTTTTTTTCTCTGCCTTTATAAGCAAGGCCCTCTCTCGGATAGCGAGAGAGGAAGAAGGAGAGACAGACAGAATAGTGTTCGACATCCCGCAGGTGGAGTGGCTCGATCACACGAGCCCCCATCATTGCGAGGTATCAATCCGGTCGAAGGGTTGACGAATATAAAATTCTCTTTATTTTTCCTACCTCACCTGCGTATTTCTGTGAAATACCACACATGCAGAGCTCATCGCCGTCACACTCGTTCCCCCCTTGGTGGCCCTTCTCGTGAGGCCCATCTCGTGTGGCCCATCTCGTGTGGCCCATCTCGTGTGGATTCCCCACACGTGTCCAAAAAAATTAGTAACACGTGTCCCAATTCCCGTGTACACGTGTACCACCACAGCAACCAACCCACACGTGTACTACACGTTGTGGACAACTACCCGACCCACTGTACGGCGCAACGCCCTCCTCACCCGCCCCCACCTCCCCTTCCCCGCCGCACCGAGAGCATGTCCCGCCTCGGCGCCGAGGACCCGTTCCTCTCCGTGCAGCATGAGGCCGAGCGCAACTGGGCGTCGATCGAGTCCGACATGGACGCGCTACGCGCCTCGCCCGCGGCGGGCGACGGCCCCGCGCGCCGCGCCGTGCTGCAGAAGCTGGACAACCTGCAGTGGGACCTCAACGACATGACGGACGCGGTGCGCATGGCGCAGGCGGCCCCCGCCCGCTTCGGCCTGACGCCCGAGCAGGTCCGCGCGCGCGAGCGCCTAGCCGCGCGCCTGGCCGCCGCCGCGCGCCGCGCGCGCGAGGAGCTCGCCGCCGGCCCCCGCCCGCGCCTGCTGGAGGGGCGCGAGGCCGCCGCGCGCGAGGCCAACCACGCATTCGTCGACGACCAGCAGAGGCTCCAGGAGGACATCATGGACAGGCAGGACGAGGACTTGGGCCACCTCGCCCAGGCCGTGGAGAGGATCGGCCTCATGGGCGAGGGCATGCATGATGAGCTCGCCGAGCAGGGCCTCATGCTCGATGAGCTCGGCGGAGAGCTGCATGATACTAGGTCGCGCATGGCAAAGGTCCGCGAGAAATTGGAGGGCGTTATGGCGGAGACTGGGCCTAGGCAGTTTTGTACTATTGTTTGGCTGTGTGTCACCTTTCTTGTGCTTACTGTTCTCGTTGTTATCACATGACCCCTCTTTTTGTAAATCAACTACTGACTTATCCGCGACGCTCCACTCGATTCCCCCCGACTATACGCCAACCTAGTCCCATGAACATGTACATGCATGTTGTCAACGCTGCGTTTACATAATCTGCTGCGAACAAGACTTAATTGACTCATGCCCATGTCGTGTCAAAATTGTTGTTCGACCACCTCATTCAAGCTCGTCGTCATCCTCGGAAACGTCATCGAGATTCAGTTCAAGACCTCTGCTTTCAATCTCGTTAACTATTCGGTCGTCGTCAATGTCGTCATCCAAATCGTCCTCGTCCTCGTCGTCCAGGTCATCGTCATCGTCGTTATCCAAATCGTCGTCCTCCTCATCCAAGTCATCATCTAAGTCGTCTTCATCATCGAGCTCTGTCATCTTCATATTCTCCTCAATCCCGTGTTCACCACTCACATCATCCATTATTTCGTCGCTTTCTATGTCCAGGTCAAACCCAGCGTCACGAGCGTCTCTAGCTCTATCGTTAACTTCACTCCTCCGTTTCCGATCTCCCATGCGTTCCGAGCCTCTTTCTTCTAAATCAGCAAGGTGCATCGCCTCTAAGGTTGCTAGCAACTCTGCAGATTCATCGTCCACTTCTAATTCATCTTCATTGCCAATCCTTAGATCATCGTCACTCTCGTCCCCATCACCTGTTTCAGAGTTGAAAGAAGTGGACGTACGATGGAAATTAAACGATTCCTCTGGCCCAGTATATAACTGATACTCTTCTTCTTCATCTTCTTCATACTCGTCAACGTCATCTTCATCAATATCCGCATCCTCGTCTTCTCCGAGGCAAGAGTCATCCTCTTCGGGGTCATCGAAGTCGAAAATTTCCCTCTTCTCAGACAGGCTGAACCCCTTCCTCAGCGCCGATCCAGAACCCTTGCATGAGTCGCAAAACTGTTTTCCGATCCCGTTGCATAAAATGCATTGGGCTTCCCCATAGTTGTCGACGCAAAGATTAGGACGATTCCATATCTTCTCTAGAAGCTCTTTTCGAGATTCTGACATACCAATTTTATCTAGCGGTGGTACCCAACCGCTTCCTAGACAAGCCGAACAAGTGTCAAGTCCACTGCCGCGGCAAGTCTGACAGTTTGCCACAATACCCTTTCCTTTTGAACTTCCCACGCGTCCTCCTCCAATAGAACGCCCATCTGATCGCACTTTAGCAATCTCCTCTTCTGTCATCGGCTTCCATTCATCGGGGGGTTTATGAATTTTGAAGGATCTGTTGGCAACCCGGCGGACAGCAGTAAATTTCTGTCTTCTCAAGGAGCCTTTTCTGACTGCATCACCTCTAATGGAAATCGATTCTTCCATTTCATCATCAAGCGCTTCATACGAGTCATCGTCTTTCTCTCTTGGCGCGTCTGCTCGCCTCGAATCTATTTGTTTCGTCAGTCCCAGAATCCGAGAGATGTTGGATGCGGGGGGGGCCCGGCCCTCATCAATTCTTGGTTCACGCGTCGTCTTCCTTTCTTGTGGTTCTTTCCGCTTCTGTGGATTGCCACTTCTAAGAGCTTGATTTCGCAACAACATGCTCGGTCTTGTGGAACGAGGCTGCTTCGAACGATTCCCAGAGCTTGCTTTGGGACCCTCACGAGCTATGGCCATCAATTTTTGGAAAGAAGTCTCCCCGTCGGATTTGTCTTCCGTCGGGTTGGTGTCTTGTTTCTCTTCACCATCGGGGGGAGTTGATGAATCTTCGCTGGACTCAGAAGCTCGAACAGCTCTTTTCTGTGCTCTGAAGCCAGATTTTCGCGGGGCGAAGCTATTCATTTCGCTTTCATCTCCGATTTCTGCCTCCTCGAATCGATCATCCATCGCGGGATGGAACTCATTTCTGGCTCCACCGCGCCGGACGGATTCTGTGCCGCTGTCTGACGAATCGTCATCAACAGCGTTGACGTCAACTGCAAGACTATCCTCATCCCCCTCGCCAGCAAGAAGATCACGGGCTCCTTTCGTTGATGCTCTTGCTTTTAAATCTGCGAGCCACTTAGCGCGATCGATTTGTCCTGTCTGTGGCCTTCCCGTGCCTTTTCCTCCATCTGGTTTCTGCTTCCTGGGTGCTACTCCTTTTTTCATGATGCCCTGCTTTCCCAGGTCTATGGAGCCAAACAACTTGTCAACTGCATCAAATGCACTTGCGGCAGCTGTTTCCCTATCCATTCGTCTTGCTGAACCCTCTTGTGAGTTTTTATCAACTTCTGACGAGTTGCGTTCTTGAGCGTCCAAACTGGAATAATCCACGACTCGTTGTCCCGGGCCTGCCTCTTTCCTATACCTAGAATAGAATCCACCGTCAATATTATCATCAATATCAATAGGCTCGCCATCTCGAGCATCTGGATCCTCTAGGATAATCTCCTCATCAATGCCAGCTGAGTCACCATCGGGTTTTGCTGTTCCCTCTTCAAAGGAGTTCTCGCCCTCTGCCCCCTTCGAATCGTTAACACTTTCTCTCGGGCGAGATCTTGGCCGCTCCGGCCGCTTTTGTGCTAGATTTGGGATATCCTGATCGCCATTCTCCTCTCCGTCAAAAAATCCGAACAAATCACTAGCAGACCGAGAGGCAGAAGCAGTTGGCTGACTTTGCTGAGGGCTTCGTCGGCGATTCTGATTGCGCTGGTTAGAACCTGGGAGAGAACGGGATGAGCGCGGCACAGCGTCTGAATTTTCATCGGCAGGGCCCTCTGTGGGACGCCGCGGTTGGCTCCGATTTGCATATGGGATAGTTCTGCGAACCGGGAGATACGTCACGAAGCTGAGAGCTGAAGCTTGCGGTAGCGCAGACATAGCTGCCGATGGTTACGAGGGTTCAGGAACGTCTTAACTTCACCGTCTGGCACGTTGTCCAGTCCGAAAAGCCCGGAGTGGAGAGCTTCAGAGAGCATACTCGTACAGTCGCAGATCTCTCAGCGCCTAGCGATGCTCGCACGATGAGATCTTCCCCTCAATATCCAATCATGTCCATCTCCGAAAATTGCGACACAAAAAGCCGAATCCCTCTACAATATGGATTTTTTTTTTTTTTTCTCGTCAACCCATTCCTCGCTATTCTCTGGTACTGTATCTGTCCGCCTCAATCTTTTTTCTGCGGATGTACAACAAAATGGTTCTTAGCAAAACTGCAACCTCATGTTGAGTCGCTCTCTCCCACTGAAATAATATTAAGATTAACGGAGTGGAGCGAATGGGCTTAATGCGATGGCAGCACGTGGATATGCCACTTTGTATACTATGTCCTTTACTTCTAAGGATAGAGATCAGACAGTTCACGATTCTCGCTCAAATTCTTTTGAACATCCGGACAAATGGCTCAGCCACCGAATATTAGGCGGTTAACAGAATACCAAGACATCTCTCTTCCTATAAAGTATCAGTGTCTTGTTATTTTTGTCTGCAGATAGACAACCTGTTGAACTTGGCGCTAGCTAGACTCTTTCGCGGCATTCTTCGGTGATTTTGAAACAACTCTCTAAATGTACACACAAGGGAACCTTTTTGAAATTCAGAGCACACTGTGTGTAAACACTGAATCCGGGAAGGGAAAGAGCAGCAGAGGAGCCAGGAAGATAAATGGCTGCCTCTTATCGCTTAACAGAAGCCATTAGCTTTTGTCACTGAACAAACCTCAACCATCATCTAATTAAATCGACCCCCAGTGCCAATTCTAAAACATTCCTCCGGTAGTGCCTTGCGCGGCGGCACTAGCGGCCTGCTATGCAAATATGAGGCATTGGTTCGTGAATTTTTCATAGATACGTTCCAAGGAGCGCGATAAACTCTTTCCTTGATATCTGCACGGGCCTGTCGGAAAGCATGTGCAGCTGCCTGTATAAAGTGGGCGAGCATGGTGCGAGGGTGGTGATCACAGCAAAGGGGCCATAATATTAAGGCACAGTGTATTTGACACTTTCAATGTCGCTAGACAAAGGGTCACACAGCACAGGTCCACATACATCGCGCACCGACTCCAGAAATGCCTGCATACCAAAAAGAGAGAGCGAATTTGACAAGAAATTTCAGTATTAAGATTTGGAGCAAGAACAGACTTGGTCTTAATGTCAAGTTGACTCTTGTCGTCTCTGCAAGACTGCAAGTCTATGGTACTTTTTGAAACACTATTTGTGTATCTTTGCCACTCTAACATGGTTGCCTCTATGAGGGCAGCTTCTGATGGAACTTTTATCTCGCTTGTAGCTGTGTGTCCTGAATATGCACCTACAAATTCATATGTTAAAACATCTCGCATTCTCCCGTGGCGGTTTCTACGCTGGACGGCCTAGAAATCAGTGTAAAGCAGCGCTATTTGCATTGAGCATGGGCTACAGACACCGCGAAGGATAGTTTCTGCTACAATGTATCTCAGACGAGAAAAAACTCTGTATCAGATTGTCCTCAGAAATTCAGAGTGCTGCGCAATCTCTACGTTGTTCCCAGATATACCCCTTGGATTGAATAGAAACGATGTGGAATGGATGGGCTGCTGCACACAACGTAACTTTCTTTTGCCAACCTCGTTCAGGATCCTTTCTTGTAGGCAATGACCGCGTTTAGAGGGGGGACCAACTCAATTTTCTCACTATGATCAAACCCTACCTCTTTCACCCATCCATCGAAGTCGCGGCTTGTGAAATCAAATCCACCTTCCTGGTTAACAAGCATGTTGAGTGACATCAGGAGAGCAGGTACGCTTCCCCTTCTGTCATCTTCGATCAGATGGTCTATCGCTACCAAACGGCCACCAGGATTGAGTGCATCATATGCCTTTCGCAGAAGAACCATCTTCTTCTCAAGGTTGTAATCGTGAAGGATTAGCCCCATTGTGATTACATCTGCCTTGGTAAACGGCCAGTCCCAGAAGGAGCCTGACGCAATACTGATCTTATCGGTTAGACCTCGTCTCGCAATGTTTTTTCGGGCAAGTTTGGATACACGTTCTAGATCTAGGGTGGTAGACTTCACGTGTGGATTAGCTGAAACGACTTCACACGACAGTAGGCCGAGTGCACCTCCCAAATCGAGATGGGAAGATACCGTGCCCCAGTCCATTTTTTTTGCAAGTTCGCGCTGCGCGTCGTTGGTGAGCGCACCCATGGCTTGCATGAATCCCTCAAGCTTCTCATCTGTTCCAAAAATGGAAGACCAGACATCCTTCGCTCCACCATTTCTTGGATGTGATTCATTCTGACAACGGCCAGTTTGGAGAGCCTCTGTGAAATGACCCCAGTACTGATACAGACGGGTAGCACACATTTCCATGAAGCCACCTTTGTACGTTGGAGTGCCCTTGACCAGGTAGTAAGCTGGCAGGGGCCCGTTCGAGTACCGTGCCTCAGGACCGTCTCCTTCACGAGTGAGCATGTTGAGGGAGAGAAGAGCGTCCGCAAAATCTGGGACCGCTGGCTGATGGAGTTTTAGGGCGGTTGCGATTTCAGAGGCTGTCAAAGGACCACGGGAGAGCAGTGTGAATAGATCCAGTTCGACCGCCGTCAGCAAAACGCGGGAGGCGCTGAAAGCAACCCCGAGGTCTAGCAATGGTCGAAGGTCGGGGGCGTCGGGGGGGGGCGTCATGGTGTTGAAGCTGAAGATGGAATGAGATGAGAACAATGCGGGGCAATTCACTCCGGAATGTCGGTAGTTGAGGTGAGGCTGTGAGGTGTGGCAGTTACTACCCTTGAAGGGTACAGTACCCTCGGGTACTTTGCTTGGCGCGCGCTGCCTGACGGCGCATTCCAATCGACATCGGAGGGGGCGTGAATTGTGCGTAACTGGAGGCCAGTCTCGGGAGCAGGACGAGAAGGTGTTTGATCGTGGATCAATTACTACTGTTTGGCCTTTAACGGTGCTGTGTGCCCGCCATTTTTTTGGCGGGACGCGGAGAAGCGAGGAGGTAACATTGCGGGAAACTGGAGGCCTGTCTCGTGAACATGACGAGAAAGTGTTTGATCGTGGATCAAATAACACTGTATCACTCGACTACTTTTTTGACCAATCAGCGACCGATAAAGTGGTCGCCGGCTGACTACTTTTGACCATCTGATCAAGCCCTCTCGTGTCTAGACGACAAGCAATTTGACCTCATATGAGGTCAGTCATGGCCTCATATGAGGCCAGCTTTTTTTTTGCAAAAATATATAAATTAAATCGAAACTTTAAAACATTCAGTTTGGACACCATTTCTTTAACGTATACGCGCTCGGCAATAACATCTTGCAAAACATTGGGATGGCGGTTTTCAATGCACAGAGAGACTAAGAATCTAATGAAGTATCAATGATGAGTTGACTTTTTAAACAGGCGTTTTGGTTGTGAAGATATCAACATAAAACCTTTTGAGGTTGGTCAAAAAAGGCTCCTTTTTGGGCATTTTAAAAATGGCTGGAGAAGACGTGCAGATCTCACCAAACTCCACCCTTCCACAACGCAGAAGTCAACTGCCGTGTCGAGAGTATCTTTTTTCCATCTTGTTGAGCTAGCACAAGTCGAGAAAAATAAGTTGAAAAGTGACCTCATATGAGGTCAAATGGCCTCATATGAGGTCATTTGTCACCTAGACACTCGACCCCTCTCCACTCCACCACTCCCGCACCACTTCCCATTCCATCCTTGCACTGGAGTTCCACATTCCAAGACCCCTCTCTCGAGCTGTCGGTGATGCCCGCTTCGCCAATGCCCTTTCAGAACAGCCGCAAGCACACTCTGGCAGCTCTAGCAGTATCGCTAGCAGCTCTGACGACATGTCTTGTCGCCCGGAGGGGGACAACAATGCGCCGCAAGCGCCGTCATCGCAACAAGAACCCAAAGTACCTCCGCCCAGCCATTATTCGCCCTCGCACACAGCGGTCCACTCCTTGGCGCGTGCTTCTCTCGTTCGGGAAAGACTCCGACTTCCTTGTATCCGTAAATATCACGAAGGCCTTACTGCTAAACAGTATAACAGTATACTTCCATTTTTTATACAGGAACAATTGAAATATAACTTCGGTAGCCCTTATCGAAGGGGACCGAAAACAAGAGGACGCAGTACGCAACTGGAAAGTATTGATTTGTTCGGGTTGGCTTGAGAGGGAGGATCGGATCCGTCCAAAAGGGATGCCATGTTGAGATGACAGTGTCAGAATGCGGGCGCCAGGTTTGAGGAGGAAGGTGTGGCTCGCTTTGGGATTAGGGGATGGGGAGGTTGTCGGCGAGTGGGGGTGCGAGTGGGTGTACAGTTCGCAACATGTTCCAACTGGGGTGGAACCGCCACGGAACGGCAGTGATGGAGTGCAAGAGTGGTGGGGACAATCAATTTTTGAAACTATCATACAATGGTAAAGTGTTAGAGTGCTATTTTCTGGATGCACCCACTCTGTATCAGATTGTCCTCAGAAATTCAGAGTGCTGCGCAATCTCTACGTTGTTCCCAGATATACCCCTTGGATTGAATAGAAACGATGTGGAATGGATGGGCTGCTGCACACAACGTAACTTTCTTTTACCAACCTCGTTCAGGATCCTTTCTTGTAGGCAATGACCGCGTTTAGAGGGGGGACCAACTCAATTTTCTCACTATGATCAAACCCTACCTCTTTCACCCATCCATCGAAGTCGCGGCTTGTGAAATCAAATCCACCTTCCTGGTCAACAAGCATGTTGAGTGACATCAGGAGAGCAGGTACGCTTCCCCTTCTGTCATCTTCGATCAGATGGTCTATCGCTACCAAACGGCCACCAGGATTGAGTGCATCATATGCCTTTCGCAGAAGAACCATCTTCTTCTCAAGGTCGTAATCGTGAAGGATTAGCCCCATTGTGATTACATCTGCCTTGGTAAACGGCCAGTCCCAGAAGGAGCCTGACGCAATACTGATCTTATCGGTTAGACCTCGTCTCGCAATGTTTTTTCGGGCAAGTTTGGATACACGTTCTAGATCTAGGGTGGTAGACTTCACATGTGGATTAGCTGAAACGACTTCACACGACAGAAGGCCGAGTGCACCTCCCAAATCGAGATGGGAAGATACCGTGCCCCAGTCCATTTTTTTTGCAAGTTCGCGCTGCGCGTCGTTGGTGAGCGCACCCATGGCTTGCATGAATTCCTCAAGCTTCTCATCTGTTCCAAAAATGGAAGACCAGACATCCTTCGCTCCAGCATTTCTTGGATGTGATTCATTCTGACAACGGCCAGTTTGGAGAGCCTCTGTGAAATGACCCCAGTACTGATACAGACGGATAGCACACATTTCGAAGAAGCCACCTTTGTACGTTGGAGTGCCCTTGACCAGGTAGTAAGCTGGCAGGGGCCCGTTCGAGTACCGTGCCTCAGGACCGTCTCCTTCACGAGTGAGCATGTTGAGGGAGAGAAGAGCGTCCGCAAAATCTGGGACCGCTGGCTGATGGAGTTTTAGGGCGGTTGCGATTTCAGAGGCTGTCAAAGGACCACGGGAGAGCAGTGTGAATAGATCCAGTTCGACCGCCGTCAGCAAAACGCGGGAGGCACTGAAAGCAACCCCGAGGTCTAGCAATGGTCGAAGGTCGGGGGCGTCGGGGGGGGCCGTCATGGTGTTGAAGCTGAAGATGGAATGAGATGAGAACAATGCGGGGCAATTCACTCCGGAATGTCGGTAGTTGAGGTGAGGCTGTGAGGTGTGGCAGTTACTACCCTTGAAGGGTACAGTACAATACGGTTGCCAACCGTTGCCAACAACCGTCGGTTGGACGATGGCGAGATTTAGCATCAGACAAGTGGGCTCCGTGCGCGCTTCGCGCGCCGAGCCAAGGAGGCGTGGAGGAACACTATTTGGGAAGGGTGGCAATGAAAATATGTAAAGACAATGGCGTTTACTTTTTTTGGTAACTACTGAAGGACCTCGGGGTACACTACGTTTCGCGTGGTTTCATTGGACTCTCGAGTGAGGACAGTGACGTTGCCTGGGTGAGTAGTCCTTGATAGTGCGACATAGAGTTGGCCGTGCGAGAAGCAGTGATCTCGTAAGTCGAGACCAATGCGGTCACCGAAGGATTGGCCTTGCGCTTTGTTCGTTGTAAGGGCGAAGCACGTGCGAATGGGGAACTGCGTTCGGGTGAAACCAGGGATGGGAAAGTTGTCGTCTCCTGGTCCGCAGGGCATTCGAGGAAGACACAATCTGTTGCCTTGGTGTGACCCGGTGGTAACGTGTAGAAAGAGCAGGTTGTTGGTCATGTTCTCGATGACATATCGCGCGCCGTTGACGTGACCGGTAGCGGGATCGAGATTGCGCAGAAGCATGACGATGAAGCCTTTCTTGAGCTTGAGCTTGTGGTCTGGTAGAGCAGATCCGGCGGTCAAGGTGTTGAGCATTTCTGTGGGATAGATTAGCGCGTTGGTGTCTTCGTTCTCGACCTTGTCTGCGCTCAAATACGTTCGATACGATCCCGGAATCATGTTGCCGATGACCTCGTTGACTTCCTCGAGCGGCCTGTTCTTTGTGGTGAGTATAACGCGCTTGGTGAGCCAGGCAGGGTCGGCGTGATTGTCTCGAATCCCTTGGAAGACCTTGAGGCATAAATTGCGGATGGTGTGCTCGAACGCAACGGACTGTGGTAGTGAGATCCATTCCGGGCGCTGTTCGCCTTGAAGTCTGCCTTCCCCGACGCTGAGGAGGAATTCTGGAAAGTTGAGAGCCTCCACATCTGCTGCAGGGTCCGCTCGGAGAGCAGCAAGGCGCATGTTCTCGGTAAGGCGCAGGAATCGGCACTCTCGATACAGCGGGGAAGCCTTGACGCACGCGCTCACGATTTGACCTCGGGACCCGCCCGTAACGACGGGAAGGATTCGTCTAAAGTCTCCAGCGAGCACGAGGAACTTTCCTCCGAAGGGCCGGTCGGTTTGCATCAAGTCTCGAAGGGAGCGATCGACAGTCTCAATGCAATGTCGATGGCACATGACGATCTCGTCCCATATGATGAGATCGACTTGTTGCAGTGTACGGCCTGTGTCGGAGTTTGCGGAGAAGCTGCACGTGCTTTCGGCAGATACAGGAATGGGAATCTTGAACACGGAATGAGATGTGCGTCCACCGTCGAGCAGCACAGCAGCAACAGCAGACGTAGCGACAGCGATGACCTGCTTACGGCGCGTACGAAGGAAGTCTTGAATGGCGCTGAGCACGAATGTTTTGCCTGTTCCGCCAGGAGCATCGAGGAAGAAGAGACGACCACTTCGTGTCGGCATAGAAGGTCCCGCAACGGCGCTTAAGGATCCTTGAAGCAATGCAGAGACGGATACGCCTGGAAGCAAGGAGCCCACTATTTCGTCAAAGGCATGACGTTGATTTGTGTTCAACAGCGGCAACGACGTCTGTAGTCGCCCTTCCCACTGCTGCGCTCTAGCTTCGGGGGTCTCGATCTCGTTTTGCTGTTCCAAAGCGGGCAGGCTGTCATCGGGCAGTGGGAGTCCGAAGTTTGCGAGCGTCCAGTCGGATCGCACGGTCTGCAGAGCCTCCTGTACCTCTCGAAGTACGTAAGATGTGGCGTGGTGATCATCGCGAAGCTGCTGTCTTCGAATGGGTTGTCTGCGTGCACGATTGCGAATATCGGTGAGAAACATGTCCAGGTGGTCGTTCCACAGCGAGAGAGGGTCCGAAGGCTGGCAGTGTGCCAGAATCGTAGCAAACAGATGAGAAAGAGGAACGAAGCTTGACCGGAATGAATCTCGGATTGCGTGCTTCCACTCGGCATCGTCGGCCAGCAAACCGAGTCGTAAGCAAGCTTGTCGGAAGCTGGTGCACTGCTCGCCGTCGATATTTCGCAAGTTCTCGAAGGATGTTGCCCCTGGCACTTGTGTGAGGAGGAGGCGAAGAAAGTAGCGCTCACCCTCCCTCGGACTGACAGTGTAGATTCGACCGACTACGTTGGCACCTGTACCACTGAAATCGTAGGCTTCCTCTTCGCTGGTGGCGTTTCGTCTTCGCAGGGTTGCTCTTGGACTCCATGACTTGGTGCGTGTCTTCCATGTAAAGTACCTTGGAAACTTGTGGTACCGAATATGCCGCGCGCTTGGGTACTTCTCGTTGGCTTTAAACCACTCGGTCAGCTTCGTGCCTGTTGCTGGTCGAAGCGCCGCCTCCTGCTCTCGCCCTTCCTCAAAGTAAACCGTGTGGTGGTTGGGCAGATGCACTGCAAGCCTGACTACTGGAGGATTGCGATCTACAATGTCAAAGGAGAATAACCTCCATGCGGCCTCCGATGCCGAAACGTATCTGGCATCTTGGAAGTTGGAGATCTCGTCGTAGCGCTCGTTCTCGGCAGTGATTTCCATGGTCACTCGGTCTTGTCCCTTGCACACATACTTGAAGAGGTACTTGATTCCGCCAACGCGTGACACGCAGAGTTCAACATTCAAATGGCAAGCGAATGAACGTAGAAGCACAGGACTGTGGGGAATGACCCAGGAGTTGTCTACCACGACGGGTTGCTGTCGTCGGCCAATACGGGAGGGTCGCTCGATGGAGACGCCACCTGCAGAGGGTGCCCTTCTTCGGTACGTGATGTAGTACTCACTGTCGGACTGGCTGGTTTCGTGTTTGAACGATTTTGGAAACCCTTTCCTGCAGTACCGCTCGCCCATGCACACGGCTGTTGGATTGTGTTCTCCACATGGATTGTGAATCATATGCTTGAGCACGACCTCTTGGAGTTCTGGATCTTGGGCAGACGGGATCTCGGCAGAGATAATGCGGTCGACGTTTTCGGGAGTACGCAGATCATTCTTGGAGACTTCATCTAGGAAAAATACAACGTGAGCGTGGGGAAGACCGCGTTTCTGAAACTCGATGACTCGTACATGGGCAACAACGGTTCCGAATACTTCTTCGTTGATGACCAAGGACATGAGATCTTTCATTTTGAGACGAAACACACGTGCGCACAGATCCGGTCTGTCCTGAGGCGTTTGGTTCGGCAGTAGGGCTCTTGTGATCTCCGGCCAGCTTGGATTGCATGTCATGGTGAGGAAGATGTCCGGGTGGCCAATTTGGTTCGATATAGCAATGATGTCGTGCATCTGCTGCCTCATATAGCGGTCACCTCCAATGTACGTGGAAGGGAGAATGAACAGTCGTCCCGCACGCACGGCATCGGCTTCATCTTCAGCACGACGGGAGTCTCCTAGGCTGTCGCGCAGTGAGGTGTAGTCGGCGGCTCGAAGTTGTGTCTGGTTGTGGCGGAGATAAGAAAGCCTTTCTGCCTCCACTTTGCAGAACTGGTCAACCAAGTATTGCTGAAAGAGTCGTGCTGCGTGCAAGATTGTGCTGAACTCGCCTGATCTTTCGAACAAATGCCATCCGTAGTACATCATCGGAGTAATCTTGGTACGTCTGCCGTCTTGAACACTGGAGA